AAAAAAAAATCACAGAACAGCAAAATATAACTGCAAGCAAAAGTTCTGAAGGGAGAGAGAAGCCTAGACTCTGTCCCCTAAGTACACCCTCTCCTTGGAGGTTCTCGATGAGAACTTCAATAAGGGAGGGGTTCCTGTCACCCCTACTACCCCTACTATGATGACCTCTGGAAAACAGTGAGACATTGCTCTCTTTGGCCCAAACAGACAGAAACTCTGAAAAAGGCTTTTACTAAATTCTGAGGGGGGAAGATATCAAAACAGAAACTAATACAAATAGCATCTTGATCATGCCTATAACTACAACTTTTTGAACCTGAGAAAGGTGGAGGATGAGAGGAAGAGAGGAAGACTCTCAACAAGATGGACTGACACAGGGTCTATAACAAGTTAGATACGTCAGAGATCATGAGGACAGCACAGAGCAGGGCAAGGTTCAGCTCTATTATTCATGGGGTCACTATAGTTTGTAGTTAACTTGATGGCACCAAATAACAATAACACAACCTAAGTGCTTACCATAGATACCCTCTTCAATCCTTAGCCTTTCCCCCTCCATAAAGAAGAGGTTCAGTCACCTTGACACTGGAATTCATACTATTTTGTTAGCTATTCCCCAGATTAACAGTGAAGTCCTATTCAGCGAAAATGGGGACTATTTTTATCATGTTAGGCTAGGCAAAGTGGGGAAAGTACTTTCCCAAGCTAGAGGTAAAACCTCAAACTCCTAAAGCAAGCAAGGCTTTTTCTAAAGGAGCTTCATTTACTTCTCCAGCATCGAGATAAGGATACTAACATGAACCAAGGCTGTGTGGTGAACACCTGACACACTATCTTATTTGGTTTAAGGGCACTCTAATTCCAATATGAAGACCATACACTTTTCCCCCACATCATGCTGCCTCTCTGGCTTCTTCTCTGATTCAAACATCCTTGAAGAATAGAAGACTCCCTATGTAATTAACCATTCACCCTTTCAGCACAAATGTCCCTTTCTTGGCAACTTCTTTCCCAAATCCCCAGGTGGGGCAGAAATATCCCACCTCCCGCCTCGACAGCATCCTGTACACATTTTCACTTTTCAGTGGAACAGAATCCCTGCTTTCCCTAGACTAGGAGCTTCTTTGGGCACTGATTGTCACTTACTCATTTATCATTTCAGTATAAGCACAACTACACTCTGGATGGCCATACATTCTAGAAAGATATCCTAAACTACCCAGCCCTCGGTGATTACTTTTGATTCTTGGCCTATGTTCTATCTAGCTGACGCTACAAAATCTGACCCCTACTTTTATGCCACTGATTAATATGTCAAGGGCTGCCAAAAGAAAAAAATGGATAGTTCTTGGAGAAAGTGCAGCCAGAGTGCTTCTTAGAGACAAGGAGAGTGAAGCTTTGTCTCTCATACTTTGGCCATGTTGTTAGAATGGGCTATTCCTTGGAAAAAGACATCCTGACTGGAAAGTTGGAGGGTTAATGGAAGACAGGAAGACCCTCAATGAGATGCATTGACACAGTGATTGCAGCAGTGGGCTCAAGTATGTTAGAGAGGATGAAGATGGCTCAGGATATGACAGGGTTCAGATCTGTTGTTCACAGTGTCACTAAGTTGTAGCTCACTTGACAACATCTAACAACAACAGCAACAACAACATGGTCACTCATGGCCAACTTGTGTTTTATTCTTGTCCATCCAACTACACTACAGTGTGTTGACTATGATGCTGAGTACAAATTTTCTAAATGCATCCCTGCTGTTAAGCCTAGTGGGTAAGATGCAACAGGCAGGGCAGCTGGAGATCTAGAATAACTTGAAACTTGGGCAAAGCTGCATGACCCATGACCCTCTCTTTCACTGTCCTCCAACTTTCTTTCTCTAATTCCTCTCCCTATACCCTGCTTGCTTCAACTCTGCAGATATTTGGAGCAGAGTGACTATGGGTATCATTCTTCCTGTTGGCAGAGAATGTCAATCAGGCAACTTACGCACAGAAAGAGGGCACTGTGCCAGCTACCGTATGCTCAGATTTCCTGCCTCAATGATTTTTGCCCCGTATAAAATAATTTTAGACATTTCCATGACTCCTCAGTTTGGCACACTGTAGTGGTTTGAACACTACTGTAATGCAGTGTCTCAAATGTCAGCAGGATCACCCAAAGTGGACAGTTCTTAATGAAGCTTCTAGATCAAGATAAACTAGAAAACCACCTGGTGATCCATCTCTGAAAAAAACTAGCCAGTGAAAACCTTCTGTATAGCAGCAAAAAGATCTGGTGTTGGATATGCAGTCCTCAGGTTGGAAGACATTAAAATATGACTGCAAGAGCTGCCTCCTAAAAATAGAAGGAAAAATAAACCTACAACCCAACTCACTGCCACTGAAATGGAAC